CGCATCAAAGCGAGGTTCTTCAACAATCGCTGATTTGCGCCCACGCCCCGACGGAAGAGAAGGACGATGTGATAAAAGATGCCTTTTATGAGTGCTTGGAAAGCACTTATGATAACTGCCCCCGCCACGATGTCAAAATCGTGCTTGGCGACTTTAACGCAAGGGTGGGCAAAGAAGGTATCTTTGGCACTACGGTCGGTAAATTCAGCCTCCACGAGGAAACATCCCCAAATGGGTTGAGGCTGATCGACTTCGCCGGGNTTTGGCACTACGGTCGGTAAATTCAGCCTCCACGAGGAAACATCCCCAAATGGGTTGAGGCTGATCGACTTCGCCGGGGCCCGAAATATGGTTATCTGTAGTTCTAGATTGCAACATAAGAAGATACACTAACCAGATCGATCATGTTGTGATAGACGGAAGACACGTCTCCAGTGTTTGAGATATGCGTGCGCTTCGAGGTCCTACTACCTTGTTRCAGCCAAGATTCGCACCCGGCTCTGTGCAGCAAAAAACGCACGCCATCAAACACAAGGAAGATTCGACGTCGAGAAGCTGCAATCACAACAGACAGCCGAACGCTTTCTACTCGGCTTACACTCCTGCTCTCTGAGAGCACTCGTCAAAAACTCGGTATAAGGGAACTGTGGGACGGCATTTAAAACTCCTTACGTACAGCTACAACCGGAGCCATTGGTTTTCGGAAAGTACAGAAGAACAGCTGGTACGACGAGGAGTGCCGCGTCGCAGTGGAGAGAAAACAGGCTGCCTACCTCGCAACGTTACGATCGACCACAACACGTGCTGGATGGGATAGATACCGAGAGTTTAAGAGGGAATGTGTGAGTATGAAGAGCTTGATAAGCTGGCCAAAAGGGGTAATGCTCGAAAATACTACAAAAAAATGCGGGGGTTTACAGAAGGTTTCAAGACTGGAGCATACTCATGTAGAACCCCCAAAGGTAATCTAGTCACAGATGACCAGAGCATACTTAAATTGTGGAGGGAGCAGTGCTCCAGCCTGCTGAATGGCAGTGAACGCAAAACGTTAGGAGAAGGTGAACCCTATTCTCCAATCGATGACGATAGAGCAGACGATCCATTGCCCGACCAGGAAGAAGTTCGAATAGCAATTACCCGCCTGAGGAACAACAAATCGGCGGGGGCCGATGGATTGCCGGCCGAGCTATTCAAACACGGTGGTGAAGAACTGACAAGGAGCATGCGGTTCTACATAAGGTTCTATCGAGTATTGTGTGAAAGATTAAAGCCCGTAGTCAACAAACTGATTGGACCTTATCAGTGTGGCTTCAGACCTGGAAAATCAACAACCGACCAGATATTCACCATGCGCCAAATCTTGGACCCGTGAAAGGAGAATCGACACCCACCACCTCTTCGTCGATTTCAAAGCTGCTTTCGACAGCACGAAAAGGAGCTGCTTTTATGCCGCGATGTCTGAATTTGGTATCCCTGCAAAACTTATACGGATGGGTATGCCGACGTTGAGCAGCACTAAAAGATCCGTCAGAATCGGGAAGGACCTCTCCGAACCGTTCGAAACCAAACGAAGTTTCGGAAAAGGCGGCTGCCTATCGTGCGTTTTCTTCAACCTGCTTCTGGAGGAAATAATTAGAGCTGCAGAACTAAATAGAGAAACACAGCTGCTGGCGTATGCCGATGATATTGATATCATCGGCCTCAACACCCGCGCCGTTAGTTCTGCTATCTACAGACTGGACAACGAACCAAAGCAAATGGGTCTGGCAGTGAACGAGGGCAAGACGAAATATCTCCTGTCATCAAACAAACAGTTGTCGCACTCGCGACTTGGGTCTCACGTCACTGTTGACAGTTATAACTTTGAAGTCGTAGATAATTACGTCTATCTTGGAACCAGTGTAAACAACACCAACCAATCAGCCTTGAAATCCAACGTAGGATAACTCTTGCCAACAGGTGCTACTTC